TATTTTTTTTTATGTACAGGGCGACTGTTCCCATTTTCAATGTACGATATTTAAATATCATTATTATATTCTCGAAATCTGACTATCTACTGGGAGGATAGAAAATTAGGTACTCTGTTGATGTTTATTACTATTATTATTATTATTTTTTTTTTACTGTACCTAGTTCACCTACTTTTACTCGAGTGGTTTTTACGCTGAATGAGTGTGGGTGTGGCACTAGCTATTGAGGACTTTTCAAGATATACCTATAAATTCATAATTTACAAAAAATTTTGACGTGTAGGATCAAAACACAAGTCAGATTCATTTTGTGAACCTGTGTTATCAATTGTTTTTCAGAGAGTAAATCTTTTTTTAATATTTTTTCTCTACATTCTATTGATACTTATCGTTTAGAAGCCATCCAGTAAGTTCATTATCGCTTAATTCATACATTTGGTTAATTATCTCATACCTTTCAAATATGGTATGTATTTCCTGTCAGTTTTTTTGATACTATTATAAATCCTTATTAGTTATACAATTTAGCAATGCCTGAGATAACATAAAGTTATTTGCACAATTTAAAGAATATATGATATTTGCAAAATTGACATGTAATGAGAACCATGTATAATTGTAAAATATATAGAGCGTTCACAAACGATGAGCAAAAATTTAAGGGGCCGTTCTGTTAATACAAATAAAGATATTAGTTCCTGTGACAATTCTTTTGAAAACTTAATATTAATGGGATTACATAACCTCAAAGTTATTCTTTTTCAATTATTTTTCGTATTTAGTACATTATTTTGTAATGTTTATCAATTTCTATAATTTAATTATTTCAATTAAAGATAATTTGGAATATTTGTGAGCAGAATCACCTTCCAGAGACCCTGTATGGTATTGAAAGCATACAGGGTGTTAATAACCTTATGTCAAAAATTTAAAGGGGTGAAAAAGGAGCAAAAACTGAGTTTATACATTGTTGTAGTGATTGCTGTGCTGTTTTTCGAGTGTACCTACATTTAACAGACGTATTTCCAAGTGTTCTTTTGAAAATGGCGCATGTATTTAGCAATCACGAATATTATGATAAGCTCATAATTTATGGCGAAGCGTCGTAGCACCAGAAATATTGCACAAGTGTAGTTTGTGTGGCGATTGAAAAGGCTGTGCATTTCAACTTTATATTGGGACACACTGTAATTATGTCAATTTCAAATGTTGGAATTCGGTTCTCATTATGTGCCATTCAAATGCGCAGTAATTGCATATTATAAATGATAAAACTGATTTATGCAGTGCTGCAAGCTATATATAGGAGGAGGAAGGTCTATCTAATAGTATTAAATTGTGCTACATAAAAGTATCCACGTAAGTATAAATAATGTTCAAATTTAATATTTAAATTTACAAAAAAAATTGTAAATTGTTAATATTTTGATCCCTCCACTGTCCTACATATACGTATGCGAATTTTGTTAATCGAATGTTCGGAATGCTTTGTTGTTTTTAATTAAAATTATTTTTTACGGTGGCAGCACTTATCGCCATCTGTCAAGCGGCGGAATTTGAAGTTTCTAACCACGATGGCGCAACTGTTTGGATTGGTATCCAAGGGAATAAAGGGCAGCCGGCTTTAGAGAAAGAAGGCTTTGCTTTAAACAGTGGACAATCGGTAGGATCGTTCCCATGTTATCTTACTGTAATGTCCGACATTATTTATCTGACAATTTAAATTAGTCAATATTCCGAAAAGTTTATTGACAAGCTTTTTGAGAATATTGAAGGTGGATTCCTCTGTAACTGTAAATTTTATAAAAAATAGTTTTAATAAAAGTTGTCTGGAATCATGTGGGCTATGTATCAGTCTTACGTTTTCTCTTTGGATTCTAGAAAAAAATTGGAAAACGTTTCTGGTATGGATCTTGCTTACAGACGAAAGCAATTGTTTCAAAAGATTTAATAATTATCGTAACAATCGCAGAAGAAAATCCACATGCCTTTGCCGAAGATCATCAACAACAGCTTTATTTGAATATATGGATTGAGATTCTTGGAAACCACTTCCAAAATTTCTACCACATAAATTAAATGGCGATTCATACTCATTTTCTTCGAGAGGTACATTATTGAAGATGCACCTCTGTAGACGTCAGTGCTCTTTGTAATGTAAGAAGCATATTGAAATCGTTGGACCTCAGTTTTGGCCTACTCGAAGATTAAAATTATATCCTATACATATTAGCAAATTATTTTTATGACTTTATTTAGACATACTATAAAAATATATGTTTAAAATGGTGGTGATTAAAACGATTAGGTCTCATTATGCGATATATGTGTAAATGACAGTGAAACATTGCACAGTTGGGTGATAAAAGTGATATATTCCCAACGTATTCCTATATATACCTGTAACTGAAATCGATTCATAGTAGTGTCAGTGTGTTGCACAACAGGTAATCCGTTATAAATGAAAATGATATTTATCCTTTATTTTTTTAACGTTTGTTTTGCTCTGTTCGCCAAAATTAAAGTTTGCCTTTTTCCAGTATATTTTTTTTATGAAATAATGTTTTTAAAAACCTCTTTTGGCTTCCTGGACAGAACATTTTGTAATACTAGAATACCAGAGTCTTACCCAAAAGTATCTCTTCATTTTGGAATATCAAAGGCTTGTCTATAGCTAGAGTCACTATTAGTTGTACATACAATATTATATTAAGTTTAATTTTAAATATTAATGTAAAACATCGATTTAAAACAATGGTTTTACTTGAGTCTTTACCAGTTTTTTTATAACTAATTTTGAATGAATTTATATTTGTAACATATCTGAGCAAACTTTCTCTACAGACTTTCCAATATGATGATATTAATAGCAGCCCTTGCAACTGTTTGCCAAGCAGCGCAATTTGAAATTACTAATCACGCAGGAGGACCCGTTTGGATAGGTATCCAAGGGAATACTGGCAAGCCAGCTCTAGACAACGGAGGTTTCGCCTTAAACACTGGCCAGACGGTAAGATTTCATCGAAGGCAAAAGTCTTTTAATCGTACATATATTTATTTCCAGCGCACTGTTCAGTCACCTGACGACTGGGACGGTCGTTTCTGGGCTAGGACCTGGTGCGACCCCAACAACAACCACTGCCTCACCGGTGATTGCGGAAACAAACTGGAATGTGCCGGTAGCGGTGGTGTCCCACCAGCTACTCTGGCTGAAATTAAGCTCAAAGGATATGGTGGTCTCGACACCTACGACATCTCCTTGGTTGATGGATTTAATATTATGGCATCTGTAAGTAAATTACTTGAGTGGTGATCTGGCTTTACTTGAATAATAGTAAAATAAAGGTTTAATGCTGTTAAATAAGAAAGAATATTATAACGTAGTTGAAAGTTCATTAAGTTTTAATGGAGAAGGTAAAATTTAGTTTATTCAGTCAAAAGTGAAGTCAGGTTTGATCACAAGACAATGAAACAAAAAATATGAAGCCGGAAAGTCCAGATAGGCAGTCAAACAGCATCAGAGAATAGTGACAAATAGATGGAAGAAAGACAAGGATACAAGAAAAATTAGAATAACATGACAAGAAAATGGATAGACAATTAGAACAACGAGACGAAAAGATAGAAGAAGAATTAGAACCAGACAAACTCATGGAAGAAAAATTAGATCAACAACTTAAAAAATTAGAAGAGGCATGACTAAATAGTGTAGGAAAATGGAACGTATGAAGTGTAGGTACGGTAAGAAACTGAAAAGAAGGTAGAAGACATTGGAGAAGAAATAAAGGACAAGGTGAAGAATCAAGAAATTAATTAAGGGATTTTTTAGTTAATGTAAAACAGCGATTAGTGTTTTGAAATGAGAACATTGAAGAACGAAAACAAAGAAAGACCAAGTTGTTTGGAAAGAAAAGTCACATGAGGAAACATACAAGTCATAGCTCAACTGCTCAACTCAATGTCACCTATTAGATTGTCTACATAAAAAGAATGAATTCGGATCATCAAATTCCACTGGAGCAACTTCCAGAAACCATTGAATTTTCACCTCTCGCCACATTATGACAGTTGGAAACATACATTTTTCTTCCCAGAATTGATTCAGTAGCTGCAAATTATGTTCATAGGATCTTTTCGTTCTAAAACACAGGTTATAGATACGTTTTAACACTGCTGTTGCAATGTGAGTCTCCTTAACTTAATTTTTTTATTGAACATATGTTCTTTGTCTTCAGATGGAACCGGTGGGAGGGCAAGCTGACGGTAGTGCTCACAGCTGCAAGAGGACCGCCTGCACCACGGACATTAATCAGATTTGTCCAAATGAACTGAAGGTGACTAGTGAGCATGGAGTTGTTGCTTGCAAAAACGATAAAAGCCATGCCGATTTCTATAAGAAAGCCTGCCCAGACGCCTATAGCTTTGATTCCGACGACCCGTCGAGCACCTTCACCTGTAAGGCTAGTAAATATAAGATCAGTTTTGGATAAATGTCCCAAGTTTATCTAAATCGTATGCATGTGAAAGATATTCAAAGTACATGCAATTGTAAACCACTCTAATGGAGGTTAAATAAAGGTTAATCAAACATATGGGTTTTTTAATTCACCTCAAATATCATTTGAAAGATTGGTAACTATTGCAGTTGATTGAAATCCATAACTCAAGATGACCGTGTGGTTTCAAATGAAGTAATAATTAAAAATGGTGTACCTCAAGGATCTATCTTAGCCCCCCTGTTATTTGTATTATACACTACAGACGTTCATTTGCGTATTGCATTAAAAATGCATTGTTATGCAGATTATAATCAAATGGATGCATCCTTTAACCCGGAAAACAATATTTCTATTTTAATAAGATTCGTTTAAATTTAGTAATATTGTTCGACTGGTCTAAATAGAATGCTTTAACTTTAAATCTACATGAAGCTCCTGCTATGGACTTGGAACTTCAACTTCAAAATTAATAATGGTACATGTACCCATTTTAGCTATACAAGATTTTTTTTTTAATTTATTAAGGTAATGTAAAGAAATGCTTGGATCCGTTTTTCTCGGAAATGGAGCATATTATCGAAAGAAATAAAGAGTACCTTTTTATAGCGGAAATGATGTTCTATCATATGTTGGCGTCTGAGTTTGAAAATTTCGATAAGCAAAAAAATAGGGACAAATTTTAGCCGACGACCCCCCCAAATGAGACGCCCCTGACTAAAATTTTTCAAAAATTTTACGATAAACTATTTCTAGTATTAATGAGTGTTCATAGTGTCAACATTAATAATTTTCCTTCAACCCGTTTTGGAAATAGTTAAAAAAAAATTTTTTGAGGCCCCATTGAGGGGGTCGTAGCTCCCTTAGGAAGAGTTTCCCGAACCATGTTTATATGAAAAAATGTTTTTATTTTTACATTTTAGAAAACACTGACAACTAATGCTAAACTAAAACTGAAATCAACAGTCTCGTTGATTTTATCTTTGTTCGATTACTGTGATACTATTTTTGGGCAATATCTGACTGTAAAATACAAGTTATACAAAATTCGTGTACGATATATGAACAGAAGTCAAGAAGAGAGATCATATCACTCCTTATTTTGTTTTAAAATGAGTGGTTCAAAATGGAAGTAAGTAATTCATTATATAAGTTCAATACGTAAAGTCATAAATAAGAACGATCCACCATATCTTAAATCTAAATTAAAACTTGGTAGTGATGTACTCGATAGAGATCTGTAAAATGGACTTCTACCGACTGGACTTGTATATAACTTATTTTCATTTTGTTTAAGTATCGTTTCCTTATTTAGATTCGGAACCTTTACTATTGTAAAGCATTGAACCTGTTTCGAGGTAATAGTTCATTTAAAAGTAAAGTTAAAGAATTATTTACGGACAACCAAAACAATGGTAATAAGTAAATTTACCATATACGTATAGTTATATGTCTCTAATAGAATTAAGCTTTCTTTGTTTTTTTTTTCAATCTATTCGCTACTGTCAAAAATATAAAGTAGTAGAAGATTTTAGTAATAAAATAAACACCTTTTTGGTCTGATTTGTTCCAAATCACTTGGTTTTCATCAAAGGCTCTTGAAGTATAATCCATTTGCTTTTGCACAATTCATATGTAATGGGATATTGAAGTTCTCGCTGTTCGTGAAAATTAATGCTTTATTGAGTCCTGATCAACTCGTAATGATCCTGTAAGGTCATAGCTAGCGTCTGACATGAGTCTTCACGAAGTGATACCTCCAATCCTTCACATTCAAACTGTTTCGGTGCACCGCTGCGTTCTTTGTCTTCAACATCAAAATAATTATTTTTGAAGCTTCTAAACCAATCTCTGCATATTGTTTGCGACAGAACATAGTCGCCGTAAGTCTTACCAAGACTCCTGTGCACTTCAACTGCAGCCAATATCCTTGGCAGGAAAAATGACCTCGGATGGAGCGGGGTCGAGTGGGATTATCGCTCTTTACCTACTTCATCGCTGTAGGCCCGGACGCCTCGTAGAGGTGGGCCCTTTCCCCGTCATTCCGGACCGCCAACGCGGCCGGATTGGATCGGTTCGTGGGGCCTCCTCCTGTCCTGGCTGGGCCCCGCCGGCTAGGGCCCTTTCTTCTGGCGCTCTTCTTTCTTCGCCGGCTCGTCTGTGTATACCCCCGGGGGTGTCGTGTATCGGTCGCAAACGACGACTGTCGTTTGCGACCGGGGTGGTGGTTTTGGGTGAGGTCGTGCAGCTATGCAGCTTAGGAAGCGCTTTGCTAAGGTGGCCCTTAGGCTAGCGCGGGAGGGGAGAGTGGGATAAGGTGAACTAAAGCGCGCGCCAATATCCTTGGCAGGAAAAATGACCTCGGATGGAGCGGGGTCGAGCGGGATTATCGCTCTTTACCCACTTCATCGCTGTAGGCCCGGACGCCTCGTAGAGGTAGGCCCTTTCCCCGTCATTCCGGACCGCCAACGCGGCCGGATTGGATCGGTTCGTGGGGCCTCCTCCTGTCCTGGCTGGGCCCCGCCGGCTAGGGCCCTTTCTTCTGGCGCTCTTCTTTCTTCGCCGGCTCGTCTGTGTATACCCCCGGGGGTGTCGTGTATCGGTCGCAAACGACTTCAACTGCAGATTTCTTCTGAATAAATTAATACTTCTCTATCTTAAGCTGTATGCGTGCAGTTTTGGTAACGCCATCTGTTGGAGAACAGGGAGAACTTATTCAACGTCCCTATATTTTATATGTGCCAAGGCCAAGGCAAACAAATGCTTGCTTTATAAATTGAGTTATTGTAAAAGTGAGTAGTTGATTGTGTGTAAAATATTGCCAGCATTATGTAAACAGGGACAGCTGATTATGGATTATTAATTGTACTAATTACTTCGTAAAAGCCTTTAACTATCAATTCTTGCTAGAAGTACATGTAAAAGTGCAATCATGTTTGCAACGATATCAATTTCCATAACCTATAAGAGTCGCCACTTACAAATGCCCATATATCAAGTCAATATCTTCTATAGTTTTTAACATTACGCAACAGTCGACATATATTACATAGGTATACAGGGTGTAACGTAAAGGTTGGGAATAAATTAACCATTGGATTTTTTACTTAAAAAAATAAATATTTGTCATATAAAGTTATGCTGTACGGGTCATCTTTTCAAAGCTACAGGGTGTTAAAGAATTTCAAAAAATTTAGCTTTTTAATATCATTTTCAATGCAAAAGTATTTTTTTCAATGCCCATTTGACCATGTTCGGTGCTGCGTCACAGCATACTGCATAATGTTTTTGTTATTTTTATTTTCCGATGTTAGAAGTGGGGAAAATGGTATTTACAAGTTTTATTTACGGAAAAATTATAAGAGCTGAAAATAAGACGCAAAAGGGTAATTTTGTTTAAAATAAAAAGTTGATCATAAAAAAATATTAAAAAAATGTTTTTACCAGTAGCATACCACAATTTTGTTCGAAAAACATTACGGTACAATCCGTATGCACGCCACTGAGTAACTTACAAAGTCAGTCTTTTTCCTATTACTAGGGTATTATGAAATTAAGCTATTGCTAAAATTTCGTTCCATTATCTTATAATGTTCGAAAGTTATTGGAGAAAAACTAAATTTTTTGAAGCTTTTTAGTGCCCTGTAGCTTGGAAAATAAAACCCGTAGAGCATAACTTCATATGAGAAAAATTTATTTTTTAAACCAAAAAATCCACCATTTAATTTATTCCCAACCTTTACGTTACACCCAGTATATTTTGAAGGCCTTCTAAAGTAACTATTTAATTTGAAAATTTTGGATCTTATTGCTTTCCTAGTTTATTTGCAGAGCTATAGGAAAATAGAAACACTCTATTAACGCCATTTTTGATCCTCTAGTCAGTTATGTTTCAGATTTTTATTGCAACGTTTCGTATTTTAGCCACCATCATCAGTTAGTTTACTTTTTTAATACTTCTGTTAATGTTTTCACGCCATTGTACTGTATAGTGACGCTTCTGATTAATATACTCAGTATCAATGTTATTTTTTTCAAAGATGTTGATGCCCTTAAATAATTTTATATCCAAAAACTTCCATAAATTATCAAAACATGAACAAATAATGAAATCTTAAGAAGACATTTTATACTAATACAAATATTAACTCTGCTAAGATTTGTTTATTTTTTGATAACTTAAGACTGTACTGAAATAATAATTTTGGGAATTGTATGTATCATATCACAGGTCAGAAAGAGGATACAAGTTCATGTTAGTTTTTGAGTCAATATATTTGTATATAAATAACATATATTTATTTGTTTATCCACAATCACCTTATAATCGGACTTTTATCCATACATATGAACTGCGATACTTTATCCACTAGTGGAATAAAGTAACTTTATTTCACTAGTAGAATAATGAAAAAATAATAAACCTATATTTTCGGAACGCATAACATCTGCCGAAGTTTGTGAAGAATTTGTACAAGTTACGAATGTCTCTTCATGTAAGGAACAGCCAAGTTCCTTGTATTTTCCTTGCAATATGACGTTTGTTAGATATAGACTCCTTAACATAACTTTCTGCTACAGAAGAGCTTTTCCATCCACCATGCCGTTTGATGGTCGTAATATCAGCACCTGTATTGGCCAATAAAGTTGTTGAAGTGCGCCTCATACAATGGCCAGTACATGCTTCTGGATATGCGATATTCAGGAATGAAGCAACTATTGAGGGTACCTTCGCCAATGTGTTGATACCAACAGGTTGAGAAGTACATTTTTGATTGATGTGTATTAAAAAGAAATTGTCTTGTGTTAGGCGAATTGGGCGTAGAGAAATATATTTTCCGCATGTTTCAACAGCATTCAGGCAAAATCATTCTTCTATAATTGTAAATTTTCTTGAAATGCCCGTCTTGGTGTCAGGTATTGAAACAAGTAGGTAACTGCCAACGTTCTGTACGTCACTAATTTTCAAATTTGTCAATTCGCACCATCGACGGGCACGAGAAATCCCCATTATTAGTGCAACCTAAAATAATTCAACGTTCACTATACAGGGTCGGAAAGTCCCCATGGTTCATCGGCTGTCACGTGAGAGCGATAAAGAAAGTCATAGAAATCCGTGCGATAGAGAAACATGCTGCTTAAAACACTTATACAATAAATAACTATTGTTTATTTATGTATTCCTTATTTTATGTAATACCATCCAACAGGAAAATCCAGATACAAAGTTACATTATTAGTCTACATGCAAAGGTAATAACACGTATTATCTGCAGTCAATATAAAATATGATAATCATAATAAAAAAAACCACTGTGTGTATTGGAAATACCTTTACGATGAGGATTAACTGGAATATAATCAGCCATTGGGAAGTATTCCTTGTATTTACTATATTTTATGTATAATGTGTTCCTGAATTAAAAGGTATCGGTAATGCAATAATCAGTAGCACCATACAGGGTACGAAAAGTTTTCTTGGAGCGTCTTCCACCATGAGGATTTCAATTGTAAGAAATGATATCTTAACTTATGATATTGTGGGAAACTACTCTGCGGACTAAAGCCCCGTCCAACATTGACCTACACCCAGCAGAATCATCTGACATGTACATGTACATTATATTCTATTTAGAAGATTTTTTCATTCTCTAGAAAATATATGATGAATCTAGAAAATGTTTCGCTTTAAGAAAAAATGTTACTATTTTTAAAACGTGTGATATTATGACATCGATGTTATTTCTGAGGTATTTCACTAAACGTTATTTTCGATATAATTAAGGATTTGTTACAATCATTATAGGAATTCGTTATTTTTGGTATCACTAAAGAATGATGGGGATAATTAAACGAGTTTCCTATTTGATAAATGATATAAAAATTTATTTCTGAAAACGGAAGCTGTTGAAGGTACAAAAATCGCTTATAAAACTATAACACCTTACTTTATTATTATTTGTATAACATACGTCTCGAACAGGTTCCGACACGTCAGAAATATGGCACCAACTTAGATGTTATCTTGCAATTCAAATCTCAAGAAGTGGGACCAACATTTCTGCTAATTTGTTACCAGAACAGACGTACCTACGTTAACAAACTTAGATGCCAAAGGTGACCCTGTACTTGTTGGCTTTGCAGGTGAAGGTGCTCTTGTGATCATCGTAAGCGTAGCTGTACGCATCCGGACAAGCATTCTTAAAATAGGCTGGATAATTTGTTGGCCAATCCGAAGCCCTACAGGTTTCCGGTCTGTTATGAGCGCCGCGGCAGCAATATTGGTCGGTGTTGAACGCCAGACAGGCAGATTTGCATCCTATGACTCCGTTTGGTGTGTTCAGCTTCAGAGGACCTGGACAGGCGTCGTTAAGGTGGCGAGCGCAGGCTGATCTCTTGCAGCTGTACTGGCCGCCGTCCCCAGCGCCTCCAACAGGCTCGATCTGAAACGATAAATGTCAAATAAACTATTTAAATTACTGCGCAACTATTGTCAGTGAGGTATAACTGGCGACATCTGGCGGTGGCGCAACTCGCTCCGAGAATTAAACGAGAATTGGTAATTCATGTGTTTACTTACACTTGCTGGAATGTTGAAGCCGTCGACAAGGGAGATGTCGTAGTAGTCGAGACCACCATGTCCTTTAAGTTTAATTTCTGCCAATGTGGCTGGTGGTGCTCCTCCATTGCCTCCACATTCTATCTTGTTTCCACAGTCGCCGGTCAAGCAGTGTTTGCTGTTGGGGTCGCACCAGGTCCTCGCCCAGAAACGACCAGCCCAGTCGTCCGGGGAATTGACGGTGCGCTGAAAAATAGTGTTGCGTTATTCAATATTATAAACAAGTTGCAAATTATGGATACAAAGTGTTGTTGCGTATTTAAGGCACATGTTTTTTTAAGTAAGATACTTTTTTGGGAAATACCACTAGATTTTTTACTGAGACTGATAAAGAAAGGCAAAATTCACCGAACAGATGTACAAATACGTTAAAATGTATGTATATCGAGCATCTTCAGAGGTATTTGAATAAAAGTAATATTTTTTTAAAACCTCAACATTTCGTATCTCGAATCTCTTAAGGAGCAACATCCCTGAATTTTAGTGTGCAATGCAAATTTTATTTTTCAAAAAATAATCTAAAATACATTCTATGGTCCTGGTGGCATCATTGTACAAATGCCTCTCCCATACACTTCAACCATAAAGTTGAAGATGTATACAGAATTATTCTTTAAAATTATCAGTAGGATCTTACCGATTGTCCTTTTTCCAGGACGAATCCTCCCCTTTCTAGCGGTGGCTTTCCATCATTGCTTTGAATACCCACCCAGACTGGCCCTCCTTCTCGATTGACAATTTCAAACTGAGCCGCTTGGCAAGCGGCTACGAAACCTACCACCAAAACTACTTTCAGCATCCTGATAAATTTACCTATAACAGATTAGAACATTATAGTCAATCATACTATAAAATATGTATAAAAGTGTTAATTATACTCGACTTTGCTTTACTGCGTTTAAAGACAATGAAAGATTACCTTTCGCGTTGGTCGCTACAACACAACTGTTATTTTAATCCAGCTGATGGTGTTTATATAGTGAAAAACAAGTGTAATGTCTGTGTATTTCCATATTGTAATAAGGTGGTGATACGGCGAACATTCTTAGAACCGAATACCGACATGAAACACTGTGTGAGAGTAAGGGAAGCGAGCATTTTTTCATAAATTATATTAATAGTGTAATACACTTCTAGCATTTAACTTTAATACCTCCCTTTTGATTAAATTTAATTGGTAGTTATCTAATCAAGTCCAAGTTATAAATTAGATGTGTCACACTATTGAAGGCCATGGATATAACTTTTCGAAATAAAAAACGCAAGATAATGTCGTTACGGCCTTATTCTTTGTGGAAACAAATTTTCGTGAGCAAATTCTCATCATACATGGGGACAAAATAGATCTTACCTCTATTCAAAGCTGCTTTGAAGACGTAAAACTTGGGGTAAAAAATGTGGTTTTCTCCAAGTAATCTTAAAATGTGTTTTCTATTCAATAGAAATTTGATATGTTTGTGCAGATGTCACTTTTCGAGACGGTAATCGAAGTTATTGCATTTGCAAAAATGAGTTATCATCTACAGACTTGAGTTGCATCATAGTCTTAGCTAGGAATCTTTGATCTGCCCTTGTTGTTCTTGTGCTAATCTCTGTGAGGGCGGACCCGCTATCAGAACCCCTGGGCCATCCCTGATACTAATTTCGGTTGTTGTTGGTGTCAATTAAGTCATCTACAGTAAAAAATGTGAGTATACTTGCTTAGGTGTGGCTTAATTCTCCCATTTTTGTAAATGCAATAACTTCAATTACTATGTCATAAAGTGATAGCTGTTTTGAGATATGCCAAACCCATATTTTGTTTTTTTTTCCGAGTATGTGTTTTAAATTAAAGATAATATATGTATACTTTATACATATATAAGTATATACATTTTATAATTTTTTTATGAGTGGTTATTCCGATAAACAACACGTAAAAATAACATTGTCGTTATTTTTTTTATCTGCTGTAAGTGTATAATTGATGGGGTTTATGCATATTATGAAATTGTCAGAAATATATAATTTTATGCATAATATTATTGACATGTGAGGTGTGTCAACTATAACTTTTTTTAAGAGTTTAACCAGTTAGATAAAAGCATTTTTTCTTACAATTCGAACATTGTCAAATTCATCCTATGTTCCCAGTTTTGTTGGATACTCCTGATTTCCAAAAAGGCAAGACAGTTTTGAAGCCTAGTGAAGAATATTTAATACCGAGTCAAATTTGTTCCATATTTTATTTCAGCTCCATGTTATATGCAGAAAATCATTTACAGAACATGAATTAAGTAAATGTGATACTTAGAAAATCGTTATAGTCGTTGTAGTATTATCTATAACAACGTAGTGGGAAACGAGATATTAACACAATTAGGTATACATATATAAATATTCCAAGAATGACTGAATTATTCAACTGCATTAAAAACTATTTAGAAACTACTTCTTATCGATTCTGTTAAACGCCAAATAGCGGACATGGATTTACCATGATGACGAATTATGATAATATATTAATTAATTTTGCTTCAGTTATATGGAATCCTCAATATAATATATACAGGGTGGCCAAATGAAAACGAAACAGAGCCATTTTCAGGAACTGCGTCAAGATTGTATGTAGAAAAACGCTCAGACCCGGCGATTTTAGATTAAAAGGGGACATTCTTTGCTGGTATTTTCGACTCCGCCACTTTCACCTCCAAGCAAGGGTAAGCATCACCCCAAAATCTTTAAATGGCATTGGGGGTTGAGTAATATTTCTTTTGAAAGCTCTTACAATTCTCTTTACAACAGACTTTAAATTTTATAATTCCGCAAAATACTTATTAGAATTTTGATTTTATAGTTGAAACTTATGTACGAACAATTAATTAGTAACGGTAAAAATGTCAGTCATTCGAGTTAAGTACGCCAATGGTATAAATTTAGTATTTTTTGCGTTACATTGGCTTTTGGCGAGTTGTTATCCCTTTCGTGAATTGTAAAAAATTAATGCTATACACATAGAATGAACGCGAAATTAGTGGATTTCAAATTATTTTCTAGTATTATTTTTGAAAATTAAACACTATGGTTTAATTTATTCCATTGCGGAAAGGGTAAATATCATTTCGTTTTACTTTATGAACACTAAATGTGCGAATAGAACAGCTCATCTATTTAATAACAACATCAAGATCGACATGTCATGAGGAAGTATGTTCTAGAGTTAGTAAAACAAATTCAAGAGACGGAACGTAGCCAATAAAAAACGAGAAATTGAAAAACCTATAGTTAATGAAGCTAGTTTTGGGACAAGTTCATCTTGATCCTACATTAAGTACGAGGAAGCTGGCATCTGTGTCTGGGATCAACCGAACTAGCATACAAACCATTTTAAAGAAGAATAAATTCCATCCATACAAAATACATTTAGTCTAGGAACTTCATGAGGATGATTATGACCGCCGTTTGCTATTTTGCGAAATAATGAGTGAACGACCAGGGAACGATCCACAGTTCCTTTTTAACATCTGTTTTTCTGATGAATGCAGTTTTTTGTCACAAATTTTTTTCATCATTTGGAAAACGGAACATGCACACCAGACGTGATGGCTATCAATTAAAAAAATTGTCATTATCTAGCTATCTCCATGTTTTATCTCATTGAATGAATAGGATGGGTACTATATAAAGTCTATGCGCTAATGTAATCCATATTCCATCAAAATGTTCAAACTTGTGGTAGTGGCTGCTGTCTTGGCGACTGTTTATGCTGTCGAGTTCGAATTTAAGAACTTGGAAATCGGCGACGTCTGGGTCGGTATTCAGGGAAATAGTGGTAAAGAAGCTTTGGAAGGAGGCGGCTTCGTCCTAGCCCCTTATGCATCGGTAAGAGAAATGTCGATTTTTTTTATGAAAACTGTATTAGGAAAAATTTTAATTAATGCATTGGCTAAATTTTGTATTGGTTTAATATTATAGCTGTAGGTAGGAACAAGAATTTATTGGTTTCAATATGTAAGTTTTTTTTGCATTAGCCTTTCCAATTTAGACAGATCCTTTTTTATTTTAGATTATTTTACTTGCTACCTTACCTAAGGAATGTATATTCAACATATTTTAAAGAATATATTTATACACAAGGTGGTCTTTAAGTGTGTTCATAATAAAATGAAGCTTTTTAGGAACTACTACTACAAAATTTCTTTAAATCTTTTCAGGTTCATTTTATACAGTTAAAATTCAATCAACCCCTTTCTCCTTTTTTATAGTAAAGTCTAACAAATATGAAAGTAATTTAAACTGTTTATTAAATTGTTTCAAGAATATTGTCCTACAAACATTTCATTACCATGTCATTGATTCTACATATCGTGGTAGATTTGTGGTTTGTTAGTATACCTTGTTTGAGAAATAAGGTCTATTTAATCTGGTGGTTTTTTATTCAAACAACGTCTAGCAGTGGAACAGAGGACAAACACTTTTATTTTTATTATTAATAGTGTTTTCCGGTGAATCATTAAATGATTATTATAAGATTCAAGGACTGTTGTTAAAAGTCAGTCATGTTTAATCGTAGATTTCTTTCAATAGGAAACAAAGGATAAATAACTAATTTGTTTTTTAAGATAAAAAAATAGCTCCCTAGACATGCCCTGAAATTATGAAACATAGGACCATACATTTTTACTAATATTAACAATGTTTATACAGGATGTGCCACGGTGACGAGACATTAGATATATTTCAGAAACTACTTGGATTTTAATTTTGAAAATTTGGGCATGCCTTTCTCAACTAAAATAATGGCTGTATATTATTGCAGTTTTGGATTCTACGTTAATTTTTAGGTGGACTAAAGGTTTCCTATTCTTTAAGTTAACCGTTTTTATATATTTAATTTGTATAAAAAAAAAATTAAAAAAGTACTGCCTAATTCAAAAAGACGTGTATTTTACAATAATAAAATTAGAGCTATAAAATTTATAGGGGACATAACTAAAACTCTAAGTTTCTCTGCCATAACTTCAAAATGACTTAATTTCGTACAGGGTGGTAGAAATTTAATGCCGAATTTAGTCGACTTTAAACCATCTTAACTTATTTTTTTTTAAATGGAACACCCTGTATATTTTTGCGCAACCTGATGAACAATTTTGTTCTCTTTCGAATGGTATAATGGTTCCCTATACATATCTCTTCTGGTTTTTAAGGTATTTACTGTTTTTGAAAACAAACACCTAATCTGTCGCCAGTTTATTGTCAATTTAACACATACAGCGAATGTTTATTTCAGTATTGTTTATTGATAAAGAATGTAAAACGTTAACATTTATTCAATTGCTGACATGCAATAATATACAGAGTGTTCTATTTAAAATAACGAAGATGACCTCAATTTGCAAAGTGCTAAGTGTTGTTATCTGAGAGGTATATGCTTGATAAAATAGATCCAATTTAGCTAAAACATTTTTTATCATATTTTCTTATTCGTCAATCTTGTCACCATGCATATTAAAACACTTCAAAGTTTAGCTTCAGTTTATTGACTCATTTCATGCTCGCTCTAATTTTTGTTAGATTAGAAACATAAAAGATAAATTATGAAACCAGAAATGTCCGGAAAATCTTCAATTTGGTATTGTTTCTATCAGAAACTTGGGAGAATTTCATTTACATCAAAATTCTGCTATAATTTTATTTTTTTGATAGAACAATTATTTAAAATTCCAAATTATTCTTTAAATCCCCGGAAAGTACTTCAGATTTTCGCGTAAGCGTATTACTCAAATTTAAGGAATTCTACTTCAATATTAGAATGTTTTAACGAAAAGGAATCCATAATTTGTTTTATTTGTTAATTTCGAATTAGATTTAGATATTTATTTCAAGTGGGAGAGTTAAAATTTTTAGTCCATACATTACAATTAATATTAAAATATTTTATATGAAATTTTATTTAAATATTAGAAGTGATTGTTGATTGTCGAAATCTCTAAGTAGCACTGATTGACGTTATTTATTTTAAATCATAACATTTTGGATATAAACAATAGTGTGTGACTCCTGTTGTAATAATTGATAAAAGAATAACACTAGCACTCAACAACATTTGTTTTTTTTATTTAATAACATCTTAAGAAACTGTTTTTTAGTTAGTTATTAAGAAATTATTATAAAAAAAATACTTTTCATTGTAATTTACGGTAAAGCATTGTATTGGATAATAATCAGAAAGTTTTGATGTCCATATGACTGATGAAAATAATGTGTCAAATATTACTACCAAAAATAAATATTTGACTTTATTTTAAAGTGACTTTATTTTATTTAATCTCATAAAATAGCTATCAACAAAAAGTTTTAATCTCACAAACAACTCTTTGAAATCAAGCCATATTTAGTTAAAAAATCATGCTTTTAGCGCGTCGTATCAGCTCCTGAAGACTGGGCTGGCCGTTTTTGGCCAAGGACCTGGTGCGACGCCGGCAGCAACCATTGCTTGACCGGCGACTGTGGAGACAGACTTCAATGCGGAGGTAACGGCGGTGCCCCACCAGCTTCCTTGGCTGAAATTACGCTGAAAGGAGCCGATGGTCTCGATTTCTACGACATCTCCCTGGTAGATGGTTTCAACCTTGCAATATCTGTAAGTTACATTGACATATAGAAGTTATATTAACGGATTCTTTTCGTCAGAATGGTTAAACAATTTCTTCGACTGATAAACACACTAAAATACCGGCCAGGGGGCTTAATCTCCTCTCGATTCGAAAATTGTTCGACCAGGCGTAATATTTTCTATTATTCTATAACAATGTTGACTTCCAGTTCGAGCCTGTCAATGGACAAGGTGACGGTGGCCAATACAGTTGCAAGAAAGCTAGCTGCGCTCGCCATCTCAATGACGACTGTCCCGATGCTCTGAAGCTGAACACCGACAGCGGCGTCGTCGGCTGCAAATCCGCTTGTTTGGCCTTCAACACCGATCAGTACTGTTGTCGCAACGCATATGGAACTCCCGACACCTGCAAATCCTCCGAATGGCCGGTAGACTATCCCTCTTTCTTCAAGAACGCTTGTCCGGATGCCTACAGCTACGCTTACGATGACCACAAGAGCACCTTCACTTGTAAGGCCGAAAAATACATCATCACCTTCGGTATCTAAGATTTTCAGTTCATTCTTATGTAATAATTATAACCGTAATTTGAATTGTATTGTATTAACGTATGTAATTATTTAAACCTATCAAATTCAACAGTGTACACTGTTTTACTAGTTTTTAATTCAAAATAAAGTAACAACTAACTCTTCTTTGATTAATAAAAGTAGTAGCTGTATAATCCTTACACACGAGCAATATATTAGTTAATAAAGAGTAAACGTTCATCGTGTTATTTTATTATACCTTTTGCAATTACCTAAACAATTTATACCTAAATAATTTACGAAGCCGAGTAAATGTAATGTTTAAATTAACAACGATTACGGTTTTTGCTGTAACACCTTTTGCCGATGAATTTCAAAAATGACGCTAGAAATGTGGTTCCATATTGCAATCAGGAAGATCGGTAAGAATAGTCGTCCAGCAAGTTACCAGAAGAAATGTTGAAAACTGATACTAATTTCGGTTGTTGTTGTTGTAATTCTCTAATATTTGTAAATGCAATGACTTCAATTACTATGTCATAAAGTGATAGCTGTTTTGAGATATGCCAAACCCATATTTTGTTTTTTTTTCCGAGAAGTATATATGTTTTAAAATTTAAAGGCAATATATGTATACTTTATATATACATTTTATAAACTTTTTGTGAGTGGTTATTAGATAGAGTTAGATAAAAGCATTTTTTCTTACAATTCGAACATTGTCAAATTCATCCTATGTTCCCAGTTTTGTTGGATACTCCTGATTTCCAAAAAGGCAAGACAGTTTTGAAACCTAGTGAAGAATATTTAATACCGAGTCAAATTTGTTCCATATTTTATTTCAGCTCCATGTTATATGCAGAAAATCATTTACAGAACATGAATTAAGTAAATGTGATACTTAGAAAATCGTTATAATCGTTGTAGTATTATCTATAACAATGTAGTGGGAAACGAGATATTAACACAATTAGGTATACATATATAAATATTCCAAGAATGACTGAATTATTCAAGTGCATTAAAAACTATTTAGAAACTACTTCTTATCGATTCTGTTAAACGCGAAATAATCCCACGAATTCAAAGCACTTACGTACTGGATTTACCACGACGACGAATTATGGTTACGTATTTACTGATTTTAATATCAAAATAATTCCATATTCGGTAATACCAACATTATTCTATGATTTTTGCCAACGTATTTAAAAAGTCTATACGGCTCACCAAAATAATAATATGTCGCCCCCTCTCTCGCACAAGTCTAGAACTTCTGGGCTAATCCTTGCGGTTAAAATGTAGGGTAGAAATATTACTATCATTACGCAATAGAAATGTTTCTGGTACGTCTTATGCTTTTTATAAATTAAAATCTTTTGTCCCAAATTGGTAACATACTATTTTCCCATCATTTGGCTAACGGATCCGATACGAAAAGTTAGGTTTTTAGAACTGCATGGCAGAGACATGGATCCACAAATCCGTGTTTACTCTCCACTTGACGTCATAGCTTGTCAGCGAGTATGCACAGATCGTGTATCTTCTATCTCCATCCTATGCACACCTGGTGTGATGGTTATCAATTAAAAAATAGTCTTTATCAGAGTTTATAGATGTTTTATCTCAATATAGGTATAGGAGGGGTACTATATAAAGTCTATGCGTGAATGTAACACTTATTCCGTCAAAATGTTTAAACTTGTGGTTGTGGCTACCGTCTTGGCGACTGTTTATGCTGTCGAGTTCGAATTTAAGAACTTGGAAATCGGCGATGTCTGGGTCGGTATCCAGGGGAATAGTGGAAAAGATGCTTTGGAGGGAGGCGGCTTCGTCCTGGCCCCTTCGGCATCGGTAAGAGAAATGTTGATTTTTTTATGAAAATTGTATTAGGAAAAATTTGAATTAATGCATTGGCTAAATTTTGTATTAGTTTTGTCCAATTAATATTATAGCTGTAATAGGTAGGAACAAGAATAGAAGTTTTGGTTTCAATATGTAAGTTTTTTTTCTATTAGCATTTCTATTTGGACAAATCCTTTTTTATTTTAGATTATTTTACTTACTACCTTACCAAAGGAATGTATATTCAGCATATTTTAAAGAATATATTTATATACAAGGTGATCTTTAAGTGCGTTCGTAATAAAATGAAGCTTATAAGAAACTACTACTACAAAATTTCTATAAATCTTTTTAGGTTCATTTTATACAGTTAAAATTCAATCAACCCCTTTCTCCTTTATTATAGTAAAGTCTAACAAATATGAAAGTAATTTATACTGTTTATTAAATTGTTTCAAGAATATTGTTCTATAAACATTTCATTACCATGTCATTGATTCTACATATCGCGGTAAATTTGTGATTTGTTAGTATACCTTGATTGAAAAATAAAAAAAACAAAGCAAAGTGCAAAGTGTTAAGTGTTGTTATCTGAGAGGTATATGCTTGATAAAACTAGATCCAATTTAACTAAAACATTTTTTATCATATTTTCTTATTCGTCAATCTTGTCACCATTCATATCAAAACACTCCAGTTTAGCTTCAGTTTATTGACTCATTTCATGCTCGCTCTAATTATTGCTAGATTAGATACATAAAAGATGAATTGTGAAACCAGAAATGTCCGGAAAATCGTTCAATTTGGTATTGTTTCTATCAGAAACTTGGGAGAATTTCATTTACATCAAAATTCTGCTATAATTTTATTTTTTTGATAGAACAATTATTTAAAATTCCAAATTATTCTTTAAATCCCCGGAAAGTACTTCAGATTTTCGCGTAAGCGTATTACTCAAATTTAAGGAATTCTACTTCAATATTAGAATGTTTTAACGAAAAGGAATCCATAATTTGTTTTATTTGTTAATTTCGAATTAGATTTAGATATTTATTTCAAGTGGGAGAGATAAAATTTTTAGTACATACATTACAATTAATATTAAAATATTTTTTATGAAATTTTATTTAAATATTAGAAGTGATTGTTGATTGTCGATATCTCTAAGTAGCACTGATTGACGTTATTTATTTTAAATCATAACATTCTGGATATAAACTATAGTGTGTGACACCTGTTGTAATAATTGATAAAAGAATAACACTAGCACTCAACAACATTTGTTTTTTTTATTTAATAACATCTTAAGAAACTGTTTTTTAGTTGGTTATTAAGAAATTATTATAAGAAAATTCTTTCATTATAATTTACGATAAAGTACGAGCATTGTGTCGGAAGTTTTGATGTACATATGACTTAGAAAATAGTTAATATTCTTATGCTATTCCATTTTTCATGTATGTTCCTCTTTTTAAGAAACAGTGCGTCAAATATTACTATTAAAAAAAATATTTGAGTTTATTTTAAAGTGACTTTGTTTTATTTCATCTCATAAAATAGCTATCAATAAAAAATCTTAGTTCCACAAACGACTTTCTGAAATCAAGAAAAAAAAATCATGCTTTTAGCGCGTCGTAACAGCTCCGGAAGACTGGGCTGGTCGTTTCTGGCCAAGGACCTGGTGCGACGCCGGCACCAACCATTGCTTGACCGGCGACTGTGGAGACAGACTTCAATGCGGAGGTAACGGCGGTGCCCCACCAGCTTCCTTGGCTGAAATTACGCTGAAAGGAGCCGATGGTCTCGATTTCTACGACATCTCCCTGGTGGATGGGTTCAACATTCCAATATCTGTAAGTTACATTGCCATATAGAAGTTCTTTTCCCAAGAATGGTTAAACATTTCTTCGACCAATACGCACACACTAAAATACCGGCCAGGGGACGTAATCACCTCTCGATTCGAAAATTGTTCGACCAGGTGTAATATTTTCTATTATTCTATAACAATGTTGACTTCCAGTTCGAGCCTGTCAATGGACAAGGTGACGGTGGCCAATATAGTTGCAAGAAAGCTACCTGCGCTCACTACATTAATGACGACTGCCCCGATGCCCTGAAGCTGAACACCGACAGCGCCGTCGTCGGTTGCAAATCCGCTTGTTTGGCCTTCAACACTGATCAGTACTGTTGTCGCAACGCATATGGAACTCCCGACACATGCAAATCCTCCGAATGGCCAGTAGACTACCCCGCTTTCTTCAAGAACGCTTGTCCGGATGCCTACAGCTACGCTTACGATGACCACAAGAGCACCTTCACTTGTAAGGCCGAAAAATACATTATCACCTTTGGTATGTAAGATTTTCAGTTCATTCTTATGTAATAATTATAACCGTAAATTGAATTGTATTGTATTAACGTATGTAATTATTTAAACCTATCAAATTCAACAGTGTACACTGTTTTACTAGTTTTTAATTCAAAATAAAGTAACAACTAACTCTTCTTTGATTAATAAAAGTAGTAGCTGTATAATCCTTACACACGAGCAATATATTAGTTAATAAAGAGTAAACGTTCATCGTGTTATTTTATTATACCTTTTGCAATTACCTAAACAATTTATACCTAAATAATATACGAAGCCGATATACTTCTTAACAACCTGTAGAAGTTGCACAAAAATTTCGAGTAAATGTAATGTTTAAATTAACAACGATTACGGTTTTTGCTGCAACACCTTTTGCCGATGAATTTCAAAAATGACGCTAGAAATGTGGTTCCATATTGCAATCAGGAAGATCGGTAAGAATAGTCGTCCAGCAAGTTACCAGAAGAAATGTTGGAAACTGCTTGGAGTAGGCCCAAGAATTTTCTATCATTTTCCAAAATGTGTACGTTTGTCATTTTAATGATTCTCTGTGCTCTGCTCAAGCTACTGGTTTCCAATATATGGCTAGTCTGCAAATGTTGTGTCTTAGTCTGTTCGTCCTGTTTTCTTTTCATAAAAACATCTAGGAATGGAAATGGTGTCGTTTTCGTTTAGTTCAAAACGGAAGTTGATGTCTAGTTATCTGAATCAATAATTTTGCTTTAGAGTTGATGATTAGGGTTTTCCTCTTTGAGATTTCCATGTAGATATTGGACAAGTCTGCAGGCAACTCACTACTCCATCAGCTTGTTCATAACACTTTTACCAAGTCTACAATTAAGTCAAGAATGGGTTTTTGTGGTAAAATCAGAATTCATATATTATTTTCAGGCTAGTCAGTAGCTAGAACTGTATTCAAAGCGTTGTTTGCATATCGCAAGGTTACATTTAATTGCCTGTGCGATATGATTTCTAATTAGCTTTATTTTTTATCATATCACAATGAGGAGATCCCATTTTCTTCAGTAGAAGAATCAGATATGAACTGATGTTTGTACATTCCAGGAAACTTTAATTAAGTAAGTGAAATCTTTTCTTGGTTACTGAAGATATTAAACATATTTTTTTGACAAGAAACTGTAATATACACCTATTCTTGAAGATTTCTTTTGACTATACTGAAATATATACTGAATATCTAGTAACAACTTGATGTATATATTCAAGGGGATTAGAGTAGGGTAAACTAGAAGGCCAAACCATTCTTTTAATTTCATAAAGGGACAGGATTTCTAACTCTTTCTCTTAACTACACTGTATAAGTGCAGATAAATATAATTAATAAAACATAACTACTTCAGACTTTTTTGTGTTATGAAATAATTCTTTAATTTTAATATTTTTTATACTTTCTTTAGTTCCAAATAAATGACAGTAATCAGGGTTATAAAGGGGTGTTCATGTTTGATATCTGCATAATTTTTATTTTTTTCAAATATTTTCTTATGAATGATCTGAATACGTTGGTCGAGGCTATAGTCCGCGCAGTAGTTCTGTCTTACAGTGCCATTAGTTATATTTAACGTTAACTTCCATAGATTTCGGATACTATTCGAGATAAGTTTACCTTTGTGTTTTCTAAAGGTACTATTTCACTGTGTTTCATTAAGGTATAAGGCATTTTATCATGACTAAAAAAATTCTATTGTGAAAGAATATTTGCATATAATGTGCGCATAATGAGACTTTTTCCATTTCTATTGTTTACCGAACATATTTGCACATTAACAAGTAACCTTAACAGTTATTTTTATATCTATTATTAATTTAATTCACGATCAATAAACATGTCATTTCACATATATCTATGACAATAATAATCATATAATAATAATTATCATATATACATAGCTAAGGACTGTCAAATAAAAGTGGCGCACAGAAACAAGGAAGATGTCTGGATAGGCTGCAAAGTAAACGAAGGGAAAGCCCATCTTGGTGGTTTGTATTATATTCTGGAGAAACAAAAAAATATTTCGCGGTTTTCAGTTCGTAACTTATCGAGGAAAGATAAGAAACTAACATTTCCAAACCGCACTTTTACATAGCACAAATAGATAAAATATTTTGCTGAAAAGGAGTGTACGAAACAGTTAGAACTGTTTTATATCAACATATTGTCAAGTTAAATATGAAAAGAGCATCAACAAAGTTTTTACTCAAAATTATTTTATATTTGATAATAATTTATGTACACTCTTATTCTAGAACACGATACTTATAAAAAGTCTTAGTCGACAAAATTGTTGCGTTGGTATAAAGTTCAACAAACAGTTACTTGCTGTGCACACGACACTGTTGCTGAGGTGTTGATAATTGAAACAACGTAGAAATCAACCACTCGGGTGGCATAAATTACTCTATTCTGTGAGCAATACGTGTACGTTATTCAGACTCGGAAATACTGAGACCTGCATTTAATAATCTTACGGGTTGAAAAACTTTTTTTTCAAATGGAATGAACCATATTAATTTTCATGGGTAAATGCAAAATTGAATGCCCCTTCGACTAATATCAGGTTGTCCATATTTATCTCTGACAGTTTTCCAGAAAAATCAAGTTCTTTTTTAAAGTCCGGGAAAGTAGCTATGTATTAGTACAACGTCGATACATAGGATTTTACAAAAGCACACCACAGCACATTCTTATCGCATCCAATTACACCAAGAGTTACTAAAAGTAGACTTTCAGCGTAGACTGGAGTTTTCTCAGTGGGCACTTGAGATGTTAAATCAAGATGATGATTTTAATATTCATAATTGCCATTATTATGACACACTAAATCCTTACCAATTCCAGACAACTCATACCCAACGATGGTCTTTAAACGTGTGGGGAGTAATTTTGGGAACCCATGTCATTGTACCATTTTTTTTACCAGTGTCTAACTGGAGCAGTTTATTTAAACTTTTTAACAAACACTCTAGAAGATTTGTTAGACGACATTCCTTTATCTACATTTCGACGAATGTGGATGTAACGTGATGGTTCTCCACTTCACAATACCGCTGCTGTTCGTCAGTTTTTGCACGAAACTTTTCCCAACAGATGGATTGAGCGCGGGGGACCACTGCGTTGGCCTTCAAGGTGTCTAGATATGACAAGTTGCGACTTCTTTTTGTGGGGATTTATGAAAAGCAAAGTTTACGTTACACCACCAACTAACGCGGAAGATATGTGGCAGCGAATTACAGTAGCATTTCAAGAAATTACGCCAGACATGCTGACCAATGTTGAACGGCCTTTTAAAAACAGAATTCGTTTGTGTATTAATCAAAATGGAGGACACTTCAAGCAACTGATGTAAATCAGCGGTCTAAGTATTCTTCTCCTTGTTGTGTTCCGAGTTTGTTTGTTTCGTTCTGCGTTTTGATTTAGTCGTTGTTAGTGGTTTACTTTTGTTTACAAACCACTTTTTTAACATGCCAGTAAATATTGACACTGTCAGTCCCAGGCCTGATAAAATGTGAGAGAAAAGTGGTTTTGCAAGGCCTTCGATCTTGATGCTGTTACATAGCTACTTTTTCGTACTTTAGAAAAGAATCTGATTTTTCTGGAAAACTGTTAGATATAAGTATGAACATCCTTATATCAGTCGAAAGGGCATTCAATTTTGAATTCACCCTGACAGTATTTCCGAGCCTGAATACACGTTTTGCTCACAGATGACAGGATTGAGTAATTTATACTAAAACGAAACTGCAGGTTTCTAACTCTTACAGTTTAGACGCTATTTAGCCTCATTTAGAGAGCTGAAATCGTAATTTTTTTTCAAAAACAACTAATTATCTCGAAAACGGTAATTTTTAAACACTCTGTACATTTAATAAACTCCTAATAACCTAATATTAACCAAGGAATTCAAAAACGCAATAATATACAGAGTGTTCCTTTTAAAATAACAAAGTTAAGCTAAAAATATTTTCTTTACATCGCCCACATGATTCCATGCAACTTCTATTAAAACCAATTTTTTATAAATTTTACAATTGGGTCGTAACAATATTTCATTTTAGGTAAAAAAAAATAATTATTACGTTTTTCTTATCTCTAGAGGATTTTAGATAAAGCCAACGACTGCTAAGGGCATTTTTGGATCAGGACACGAACAACAATCATTATATGAATTAAATATTTGGTAGAGGCTTTCTTAAGATTTAGAATTTAGATAATAATATTAATATATGGTAATTTTTTCCAAGAATTATATATTTTAATCTATTAAATCTGTGTCAGCTACTAATTATTATTTATATGAAATCTTAACAATGTCATGATATTGGAGATAATTCTAGAATTCATTATTTCATAGTTTATCACAATATTTAAGAACAAAATTAATTTTTGAGGTGAAATACCGCGTAAGCACTTGTTTTTATTGATTTTCGTAATATTTGTTTATCTACACTATTGTTTCAGATAAGTATGTTGACTGTGATTATCTGATGCACCATGTACCTAAATACAGATATAAATACTAAATACTTTCGTCGATTTATGAAAAAACTACGCAGTCCAAGCGAAAAACAAATATTTAATGATACAGCATATTTACTTTTGTAACAATTATTTGAAAGCAAATAAAAATATCTCCATAAAAAAAGGAGATACTTATTTGTACGTGCCAAAGATCGTTCCACAGTTCTAACAAGTCAGTAACTATATCCTAGTCCAAGTGTTGGTACGTTTGCAGTTGGAGATAACTTTGTTAAAAGCTTCGAGTATATACTCCTAGAGGCAGCCTTCAGTGCTGATAAAGCGCGACTGGTGTGCGAGAGAGAAAGGAGAATAAAATGACATGCTATCTCTCTCGCTCCGCGGGCTGATTGGTCTGGACTTAGGTGCAGGACGGTCATTGGCATGGAAGGGAACACGCACCGACCAATCCAGCTCGCGGAGCGAGAGAGATAGCATGTCCCTTTATTCTCCTCTCTCTCTCGCACACTAGTCGCGCTTTCTCAGCGCTGACGGCTGCCTCTAGGAGTATATGCTCGAAGGTTAAAAGAGAAGCACCTTCTGGTGACTGTCTTCCATTTATGATAACACCTCTAAATCCAGTATTATTGACATCAGTGACTGGAGTAAACTTCTTTCTGGACTTGGGATGTAACAAGACCGGGGGACATAACTTTTTTCAGCTTCTGGAAGG